GGTGGAACTGATAAAAGAAAGGAGCCAGGGGCTCATCCCAAGCCCATGTGACCCCTGAGGAACAGGTCCTCAAACGACCTTAGGAGTTAAAATAAATTGATTTATCTGGGCCAACACTATGGCCTTAAACACACAAAAGGAAAGTATAAACAAAGATTAAAGGGGCCGATATAATTTCTTAAGAGTCCATATGCACAGCTAAAGGCTATATAACAAGCAACAATGCCAGATAGGAGATACCTTCTTTTGAGTTGTTGGCCAGAGTGGCCAAAGGGACTCCCAGGTAGTAACCAAGCATAGAACTGGGAAAATGAACAGCAGACCCCAATCTTATCTAAAGGAATATTGACAACTGGTTACTGCTAGATGAAGAACAGCTGAACTTCCTAGAACAAAGACCTCTAGATAGGCTGACTAGATTCACCAGAAGGGCAAGTAGTGGGGAATGGCTGGGGGTGCGGACAACAGAGCAGACAGTAGCAGGGATATCAGAGTACAAGGGCTCTAGTGGGGGGTGGGGCTATGGGAGGGTGCGATCAGGGAAGTGGATGTATAGTTGAATAAGATGGTTTGGGATGTTCTGTGTGATACACACACAAACACACACACACACAAATCAACACATTTTTAAAAATGTACTAGATTTGAGGAGGAAGCATGGAAATTTGTGTCATGCTGGTTGGTAGAGGTGATGGACATTACCATTGAAATCTACCTGATGAACTTTATGGACATGCACAGGTGCCAGGGATCCAAGTGCAACTGATTGTGACTGGTAGTGAACGCATACGTGCAGAGGGGAGATGCATGTGCTGGTGTCTGAGTGTTAGTGGCAAGGGCACTGAGTCTTTCTGCAGGGAACAGTGTATTCTGGAGTGAAATGGAGATCTTTTTTGATGGTTGGAAGCTCATTCAGCTTTGTGTCTTGCAGGGCTTATACTGAATTCAATGTTGTATGACTGTATTGGTTCAACTGTGAAACTGGAGGCTTGCACCCACTTGTGAGGGGGATGTGCTCTTGCTCTGGAGTGTGTCACTGAATATGTTAAAGCTGTAGTGAAAAGCTTCTTCTAATCATGTAGTTATTAAAATTTTTTTTAAATGATTAAAAAAATAATTCTTCAAAGCATAAAAATTTGCTCCTTAATTATTGGTAGATCTGAGTGGCATTATCATTGAAATCTACCTGAAGACTTTATATTCATGCTCAGACGCCAAGGAGCTCAGAAAGCAACCAACTGTGACTAATAATAATCAGATATATAGAGATTAGAAATGCATGTGCAAACATTTTAATGTCATTTGCATTAAAAATGAATTTTTCTTTATGAAACTGTATATTTTGGGGGGGGGGATCTTTTTGAGACAGGGTCTCCCTGTAGCCCCAGCTGTCCTGGAACTCAGTATGTAGACCAGGCTGGCCTTGAACTCACAGAGATCCACCTGCCTCTGCCTCCTGAGTCCTGAGATTAAAGGTGTGCACCACCACGCCCAGCCAAAACTGTGTATTTTAATAATGAAATAGAGATCTTTTTTAAAGGTTAAAACCTCATTTAATTTTATGTCTTATAGGGTTTATATCGAGTACAATATTGTATAACTGTAATAATTCAACTGTAAACCTAAAAACTTACAGCCAATTTTGAAAGAGAGACATCTTAGTTCAGGAAATTGTTATTGAATATGTCAATGCTGTTGTAATGAAATGCTTCTTCTAAGTATGTGGTTATTAAATAGATAATTTAATATATATATATGTCACTTTTTCTAAATAAACATTTGGCTTTCAAAAATCTAAAATAAATAAATAAATAAAAATTTCCCAGATTTATCTTTTTAACAAAATTGAACATATTCTAAATCAATAAAAAAATAAGGAAACATTTTAGAAATGAGAATAGAAGGCAAAGCTTTGGAACACAGTTGAGCCCGATATTTCCAAGGAAATGCTGCAAAGGATCATTTCCCTCCTAGGTAATTTTTTGGATTTTATTTATTTTGCTTCTCCCTGTTTAATGTAATTTGAAATCATTTTTATTGTTTCCTGGCTCTTAATTTCCCCCTTTTCATCAATAACTACTAGTAAACTACCAGTAAAGAAAATATTGTGGCTATATTTATTATAACCAACAATATTCACAATTATCCCTTTTCTTGAAATCAACATATAAAAGTTCACAAATTGCATATCAACAAAGTAAATTTTTGTGGGTTCTGTATTAGGAACAAATGAATTCCTTACCAAGCTCTTACAAAGCATTCATAGGCTCCACCATGAGCAATAAGTCCACACTTTATCTATAGGTCATAAAAATCTATTAAAAGACTAAACAGCTTTGCAGTGTTAAGATGCTCTGCTTGCCTACATCACTCCTAGTCAGGTCACTTTAAAATTAGAGGAATTGAATTATTTAAGTTAATCTATATTTTAATCTAATTTTAAAACAAAATAGATTATGAAAATTTGTCATCCTTTCACTTGTAAATAGATACTGGAAGGTTCTTTCTTATATGAAAACTCTGTGCATTTTAATAAATAGCTCAAAGTCCTTGGGGTGGATCTTCAGTTACAGTAGCAGCCTGATGTCTAATGAAATTCTCACATTTTGCATTTTCTACAAAGAAAAAAGTTACCAAATGTACGTATACGTTTTTTCAAAAAACAGTAAATAACGTCAAAGTATGTTTGCGATACAACTGATATTTCTCATTATATGCTCCATAAACTTAGACTAGAAGAGACAGCATTCAGTAATATCACAATGACTTCAGGAAAATTAGAAGCATAGTTCACTTACCCAGGAAAATGAAGACTATCATGCTGGACACCTTGAGTTGTTCACCTGGAAGAAAGGCAGGTGTGTTTACACCCACCTGCTTCACTTCCTAACTGAAACTTCCAGAGCACAGTTTCAGCTTGCACTGTTACTTCACAGGAGCACTGCTAACTTCAGTAAGCTTCTGATGTCACTATTTCCTCACCCATCTGTTCTGAGCTGTGAATTTTCCAAATTATATTCAAATTCAATTACTCTCCTCAGTGTTCTAACCTAGGATGTCATGCTTCCAGGAAAGCCCGCAAGCCAAATAACCGGGGAAATGATGCGTTCTCAGCACATCAGTTAGAATACGAAACAGTGTGTCTCCCAAATGCAACAGCAAACGACGTTCCAAGATGGTTGAGCATGCTCAGTTCCTAGCTCATTAATATGCCTCATTAAGCCAATTTCATGCAATTTAAAGGCGTAGGAAAGGAGAGAAAATAGAAGCAGCCCAGGAAAACTATGGCAAAACCAAGTTACACTAGAATGTGATACTTGTATCTGCCATGGTTGCAAATAAACAATGTTGCATTGCATTACTCAAAACCCCAGAAAGATTAAAAACTGTGCCACTTCTGGGACATGCCCCTACTTTCCAAAATCCCAGCCACAATCTGAAAAGTGACTCCTTCCAGGGATGCATAGGTTAACATCCACTCCCATCTTCAGAGCTCTGACTTGGACCCTGTTATTCCTCACTTAAGTCTCCAACTCTTCATCTTCCCTACAGTATGATGAAACTTAAATTGCTCTTATCTCTTTTGAATTTTTTTTAGTAAATATAAAGTATGACTTTGGGCAAGAAATTAAGAAAAGACAGACACATGACAGAGGAGCATTGTGTTTACACAGCCACGCAATTTAGTGTTTTTTTTTTTAAATTATATTCTGTTAGTATTGCTTTTACATTAATAGAGAAGTTAAATTTTATTTTCAGAATGCATAATGGAAAAAGCAAAGATTCTGCAATCCAATGAATTAAAATTATAACTCTCATTTGCTCTGTAGATTAGGTAAGTGACTAACATTAGAAGTTATTCCTCTGAAACCATTATATCGTGGTTGTAAATTATAGTTTGTATGTGGATTTTATATCACAGATGACAACTTAATGACACTATTGTACCCATTGACTTGTTATTTAACAAATAATTATAATATCATAAAATTAACACTCTGTGTTTTAGATTAGATCAGAGGGGACATATTCCAAGAATATATGAGGAGCCTCCCAAATGGGGTCACATCTTATCACTGTACTGTGTTGGTGAAGTAATTCCAAAATTTGCCTGGCTTCAGGCAGAATGGTCACGGGGCCTCACAGAAGAGCATCCACTTGGCATTGCAGAACAGGGGATATATATCTTGATGCAGCAAAAATTTAAAGGTACAACCTGCCATCCTTTCAAAGCACCAGTCAGTTTTCCTCTTGGACTCACGCTGTCTTTTTGCTTCTTGACTATGCTTCCATGTAAATCCGAGAACAATTTTCGTGACTCTAATGCCGGCTTCACTGCCTTCCCTCCCAGCTTGGCCCTGTGGTTCTTCAACTCTAACATACTTTTTGTCTTCTGTTGCACATTCCTTGCGATCCTCAAATATGTTAAATATATCAACCTCTAAGTTTAATTACTTTTGTTTTTCATCTAATGAATTGCACTGGAGAAAACTGCATCCCTAAATTTCCTGGTTTTATTCGTATTTGCATTATTTTAATTTTAATCCTCTATCCGGCCTTCTAGCATTGTCAGTAGTCTTTTTTCAGCGAGCGAGAATTAAGCCCCACTCTCCAAGGTGGTTATTACAAACATTCACCGTGTAGCTGAAACCTGCCTTTGTGCAGCCCTCTCCACCTGGCAAACATTTGGTCCCTTGTCTTAGAAATTTCTCTTTTTTTTCACAATGCCCCAAATATTTAATTTCTAAAATTCAATTTCAAGGTTTGTTTCATTAAAATAAGAACATAATTCTTCACTTTTTTGTTTATAAGTATAGCTGTTTGCCATCTGTTGATTCTGTGGTGTTCTCGCTATCCCCCGTTTCTCTGGCTGTCCTCCTCTCACTCTCTCTCTCTCTCTCTCTCTCTCTCTCTCTCTCTGTCTGTCTCTCTGTCTTTGTCTGCCTCTCAATGTTGCTCTCTGTTCTTCCTTTCTGTGCCTGTCTCTTTCTATTTTTTCTTTGTTATCTGCTTGGGGATTGAACCTGGGGGCTTGCGTACACTAAGCCCTTGCTCTATTGTTGAACCATGTCTCTAGCCTTGACTTTTTAAATCATTTTGAATGATGGACTGATGATATGGCTCAGTGGGTAAAGGCACTGGCTGCCAAGTTTAATGACCTGATTTTACTCCCTGGGACCCATAAGATGGAAGGAGAGAATTAGATCTCACAAATTCTCCTCACATCTCCACACGTGCTCACACACAAAAATAAATAAATGTGATAAAAGCTATCTTGAATTAATGCATTTTAGTTTTGATTTTATTTTAAATAAAGTATTTTTAAAAAGCAGGCATTTGAAAATTTTGATCTAATATTAATAATAATATTATCTTTTCATATAATGCATAGTATATATACACACACAATGCACTGAGTCCATTCAATGATGATCATGTGTACGTGTTTAAGGCTGTCCACTTTGGATTAGATAACCTGTCAGGGAGCAAGCCCATGGAGAAAACTGATTCTCTACCCCTCAGCATCCACTGAGTGCTTATAGCTCTTAATCATAAAGTAATACCCCCACCCACCTTTGCATGTCAGCTACTTTTGTCACTATGCAGATCTCATTAAGACTCCCATGCTGTGGAGATTTCATTGGTGTAGAGTCCCTAACATGCTTAGAATGCTTTAAGTAACTGCAGGTGCCTTGTCTGGCTCTTACATTCTTTCTACCCCCTGTTCTGCAATGGTTCTCGAGCCTTAGGTATAGAGGTTTCATTGTAGATATGTCACTTAGGGCTAGGCACCTCACATTCACTTACTCCGCATTTCATCAGTTGTGGATCTTTGTAACAGTCTCTATTTGATGCAAAAAGAAGCTTCTTTGGTGAATTGTGAGAGGTACACTTTGTCCGTAAATATAGGATATGTTTTTAGAATATTGCAAGAAATTACATTGCTCTAGGGAAGTGACAGAAGTAGGTTTTGCTCTGGGGCTTACGATTTCTCCAGTCACATGTGCTAGACTATGTTCATAATACCACACATGATTTCCCATTTATTGAACTGGCCTTCTGTCTAGTTAGACAGCTGTGGATTACCCCCAAGATAAAAGTGACATCAAGTACCAATAGAATAGTTTGCTGGGTTGATCATTATTGTGGTTCATAGACTTGACAACTTTGTAAGATCAGTGATTGGTTCTCTCCCTTGGAAGCCTGCATAATATAGTCCAGTACTATGAGAGCTACTCTTCATCATGTGTGTGAAGTATGTTCTGTGTTCAGCAATAGGGTCTTACCTTCAAATTTAACATATTCTGCATTCATAACCCCACAGTCCCATGACTTATTTTCCCTCCTAGATACAAAATCTAAGGATCTAAGGATTATAGGATAATGCGATGCTAAAACAGCAATGTGACCCCTGGAGAAACAGCAATACACAGAAACTGCAGTATATCTGCAGTGCAAGACATACCACTAAGGAGATTTGGAAACTGGGACCTGGGATGTTTTGATAAGATACCTCTGGGTAACTGCACATAAAGGGAGAAAATATCCCCTTATTTTCTCTTATTTACCATAAGCATACTGTAGTGGTTTGAATGAGAATGCCCCATAGGTGCCATGTATTTGGACATTTTGTCCCAGTGTTATATTTGAGTACATTGTATATTGGAAGCATGTAATTTGTCTTTTGATTTTTACAGGGTCTTACAGTTAAATTGCATTGAGTCTCAACTGAGACTTTGGACTCTGGACTTTTGAATAGTATTGATATCGGTAAAGACTATGGGAATTTTTGAAGGTGGACTAAATGTATTTTGCACTTTATATGGTCATGAGCCTGTGGGGGCCAGGGAGTGAATGTGGTAGTGTGAATGAGAATGTCCCCTATAGGCACCAAGTATTTGGACATTTTGTCCCGAGTTGGCACTTTTTGGTAAGTTCTAGGAGGTGTGTCCTTGCTGGAGGAAGCACTGTCTCTGGGGGGTGAACTTTGAGAGTTCTTAAGCCTTGCCAGATTTCCAGTTGCCCTTTCCTTCCTGCCCTGCTTAAAGATGTGCTCACTGGGCTTTCTCAGGTCACCTCTATCACCATTATTGACTCTAACCCTCTGAACGATAAGCCACATAAACGTCTATAAGTTGCCTTGGTCATGGTATTTTATCATCTTATCACAGCAACAGAAAGGTAATGGATACACATACCTAAACAGGAGAGAGAGGAGAGAGAGAGAGAGAGAGAGAGAGAGAGAGAGAGAGAGACCACCTGCCTCAACCACTACACAGCTATAGTGAAGCCACAATTACTGAGAGCAGCTAGTAAAACAGGCAGCTGTGGGTCAGGCTGGCAGATTCTTGGCTCTACACCTAGCAAACTGGCATAGTGTCTGGTGGTTGTGGTGGCACATGCCAAAAGAGGGTAAGGTGTGTCACCAGTTGGGAGAAAAGAAAAAGGAGGCAGTCAGTGGGTTGAACTTCTGTATGCGATCGTAACTCAGCCTCACTGTCCACGCAGACAAAATGAAAGCATGTTAACAAAGGTGACAAATTTATAAATGCATTTACAGTTCTTGATGGTCTCAGCTCCTGGGATGGCACCTCTGCCAAAGCGGATGATGGACAGGATCCATTGTAAATAGAATGTGCTCTCTTATTACCCAAATTTTCATCTAAATATTAATTATAAATTTATTATCCAGCCCCATTGCCACTACCTTGTTTTAGACACAAATTATGCTTGCTGTGAATAAATCTTTTGTAGAAAGCTTTCTGAGATCCAAATTACAGTTTTCAGGTCTCACATTCACAGGCAATAAGGCCATTAATACATTATCCACTGCTTTGCAATTGCCTGTAGCTGTTTCCTGCCAGGGCTGTTTTCTCTTTCAATGACCTTCTGCTCTTCCCTCTTTTGAGATGGGAAGATGCTGCACTTACGCAGTACAGCTGTCCCATATGCTCTGTTAAATTCAAATAAAATTTTTATCAAGGTTACCTCTCTCTAGGCAGGGTCAGAAATTTTACCTTTCTAATCTCTGACAAGTAGAAACTGATTTTTTTTTAGCCTAAA